CGAGGTCCCCACGATCGACTCGCGACTATAAGTACTTATAGGAACTTCTACTCGCGACTAGAGACCCTCTAGTCAGAGTCTGGCCAACAGAGTTGTCCGCCATGTTTAGTCAAATCCAACATGTGAGAGAGAGAGAGAGAGAGAGAGAGAGAGAGAGAGAGAGAGAGAGAGCAGTACGAATATCTCACTCTCTCTCTTGAAGCTGCCGTCAGATCGAGACGTAACCTAAAATACAGCCGCACATCGCACGAGGTTTGACAATAGTGTGAGTTTGCTGTTTATCGCAAAAAATGGGTGGATGCGCAGCACCATTTTGCAACAACACCTCGACGAGGGGATATCAGAATAATGAGGATCAATCGCGATAACCTGTCGTTTGTAGAACTGCAAAGGTGGAGATTATAGCTTGTCAGTTCAAAATTCAGTGGGGAAAATCATAAACATGGCGCACCAATCAGAAGGTGGACACCGCGTGTCCAGACTCTGGCCAGAGGGTTCTCCACTCTCGCGACCCTCCTCTCGCCCCGTGAATCGAGCTCCTTCTTCCGCGGCTTATCAGTTGACATGTCCCGATGAGCCGGATCCTCGTGCCGTTCGTAGCTGACAGCCGTGCTCGACCCTCTCGCCCGAAACCCGTAGAATGACTTCCAAGCCCGAGATCACGTTGGAGCACTTTTACATTTTTAACGGCACTTATGCGAAGAAGGAGGGAGAGGCAAGTGTTTGCGGCGATTGATGCCTCTGTTTGTTTTCTAAATTGGACGAGTCGCCTGTGATACGAACATGTGTCTTCTCTTGTCAGGAGGAAAAGAAGATACTGTATTACTATCCGGAGAAGGACCTGGACGTTCAAATCAAGAACATCGGACTCAGCGAGGCGATAATCAAGTTTACAGAGTACGCATCGCCGCTGGAAGAGCGACTTGAGCTCTCGCACCAAAATTCTGCAAAAGTTTTGAGACCGAAAATTTACGTGTTCATTGAGCAGACTGTAAACAATGCCAAGTGCACATTTTATTCATCTATTGGAATTGTAAAGCTTCTAGTTTGGCTTTTATATAGTATGTGAAAGGCTTGAACTTAAAATAGTCTTCCACCAAACTTTTCAATCGTGTGTCTCCATGGAAAACGTTCTTAGGCCGATGACAGAGCGATCCGCAAACACTTAAGACTGTCTTACAATTAGTTGTATATAATAGCCTTTTACGGCTTACGTTTCTCTCTGCCTCGCCTTACGTCTACGACTAAAGCCCGTATCAGATTATAAACTCCTGACTCTGACTCGACTATTGACTCCGACTCCCGACTATGATTCAACCAATCACAGTGAAGCACCAACCGACCCTGACTGCCGACTC